TCTTCACAACTATGTTTGGCAGACACATGGGAAAGGCCCTTCTCTGCTGCACTCAAGACTCTGGAAATCCCTCCCACAGAAGGCCAGGCTGAACTCATCTTTGCTGTCTTTCTGCAAGCAGACATACACTTTTCTCTTCAGGGAGGCTTTCCCTTAGTGACTGTCTGAGAGGGGTTTTCAAATGTACAGTGGTGCCCCGCTAGACACTTACCCCATTAAACGATGAAATCGCTTGACGATGTCTTTTTTGCAATCACTAGAATGATCACAAAACGATGTTTCCTATGGGGTTTTTTCATTTAACGATGATTAGGTCCCTGCTTCGCGAACTGATTGCTCGCAAGACGATTTAAAACAGCTGATCGGCGGTTCACAAATGGCTTATTTCCGCAAGACAGGGATTGCAAAATGGCTGCCCTATGGAGGATCTTCGCTGCATGAGCAGGTATTTCCCCCATTGGAACGCATTAACTGGTTTTCAATGCATTCCAATGGTGTTTTTATTTTTGCATGACGATCATTTTGCTGTACAGCGATTTTAACGGAACACATTATCGTCATCATGCGGGACACCACTGTATTGTTGTGCCATTTTCCTTGAATGTGCTTTTAGTATTGCTGTTATCTATTGTTTAAATATAGGATTTGTTTAATTTAGGGTGGATAAAAATCAATAACTTTTAAAAATCTAATTGATTTAAATCACAATTTAAATTTAAAAAAATTAAATGATTTTTAATTTAAATCTTTTAAAAATCAGGTTTAAAATTTTAAATTGTGATTTCAATCAATTGATTTAATTCAAATCCACTCTGGTTTAATTATTTTTAAATATATGTAATTGTGAGAAAGGAGTAGAGAAAGGAGGTGTGCCATGTCCTCCCAAGAAAATAACTAACATCACAGTGGCTAAAATGAAAATTATGATTAGAATGTTCAGCAGTTGTGATACAAATATGGAGGAATTAGAAAACCTGGGAAACAAACATTTAGAAGAGGAGATGGTTTGGGTAGGAGAAGGACAGGATAAAAAGAGAGGAGAAGGAGAGAAAGGGGCAGTAGCTGCTGTTGGGTAACAATAGAAGAGAAAAAGGAAGAGGCGTGAGTAGAAATTGTAAAGGAAGACCCATCGTGGTCTGGGGAGTGGATAACTCTCAAGGGGCCAAAAAAAGGAAGCCCAAAAGGAGTGGAGGAAAAGGGAGTGTAAGAAAGGGAGTGTAAGAAAGCCCCCATATGGAGGAAAGAGAAGTGAGAATGAAAGTGAGAGAAAGATTTGCAAGAGAGGCCAATTCCAGGGAGAATAGAAAATGCCTGATTTCCCCTGAGAGCAGTCTTGGGGAGATCCAACTTCCACCCAGAGTCTGGAAAGACCCAGGCCACAGGCTTTGGGAACCCAACATGGGGTGGATTTTCCATAAATGAACCCATTTGTAAATGTGGATATGACTTCTATAGCTGAAGACATGTTGTGACCTGTTGATGGTTTAATACAGAATCATGCCTCAGGATCAGAAAGTGTTATAAAAGAGTAATGGAACCCAGAAAGGGAAGATTCAAGTTCTACTTTTATTAAGGAAGAAAAAGAGCTTGTATCTGTTAACCCAAATAAGCCTTTTGATATCAAACAGGGGTCATTGCCTGATCATGTTCAGAAGGGAAATCATAACGAGGGAGCAGGCTTGTCAGAAGCCCACAGTAACCTTATTGTTTTTAGCTTTTAAATATTGCCATTTAACATGTGATCTTCCTTGGGTCCCTTTTAAGGAGAAAGGCAGGATAAAAATATTTTACATAGATAAATAATGCAACTGGCATAAATCTCGTTGGCAAAATGCTGCAGTTAAAGAGTTCACACAGGCCTTTGTTGCTGCATGCCAAGTCAGCATATTAGGTATGCAGAAATAATTGAAAAACTTGGAAGGGGGTAGTAGAAATACCAATTGCTCACTTTGTTCACAATTGTGACGCAATCCCTCTCTCTCTGTTCAACCCAGCTCACAAAAGTAGGAGAATAAAAGTGGGGATGAAGAGAGAGCACAGGTAGTAACTTAAGCTTTTTGGCTAAAACACCGGATATAAACATAAGAAATAAGTAATAACATTTGGAAGAATCTCTCATCTGTCAAGCTTATTGTCCAATCATTGTCAAAAGTGTTACAGTAGAAGACAAAACCTGCTGAAGATTAAAAATGGCCAATATCTCCCCTGGCCCCCCTCATCAATCAATCCTCTCTCATTAAAGGCTGATTCCATTCCTAAAGCAGATTTGATATTCCTTTATCAAAACCCACAGGCATTTATTATTCTAGCACACCACACAACTGCTGTTCTTAAACACGGGCATCTTTTGGTCTCAAGGATACCTTCTAAGTCAGAGAGTTCTATATTTGCACCAACATAAGTTATTCGTAGACTGTGGTCAAGATCCCCTTCCTCCTTTACTCATAAAAAAGTACAAATATATTCATTACTTACTTCACAAGTCACAAGTCTTGGGGGGGGGAGTGATTCACTACATGTAACCTTCCTTTATGAATGAGGAAAAGGCAGCCCTCTCCCTCGCATATGTTGTGAGAGAGATGACAAATCAAAGTTCCCCACAGCACAGCAAGTCTGGCACAGATGGGTGGTTTCAAGTGAGCTTTGCTTCTGGCACACAACATTGGTCTAGTCCAGGGCTGGAACTTTCTAGGGGCTGGACAGATAATAGTCAATCTCACCACCCAAATAAGACCAAAAAAAATATGAACAAGGAAGTGGTAAGATTTCTACTGCCAGTTTAAAACAAACAAAAAAAGTATTCTGAATTTTAAAGGGTGCAGGAGCTGTGGCCTATTTAAAAAGAGAACCGCCACTTCTGGTGGCTGCCAGGAAGGGCCATTTGTGGGTTTTTTGTGTTTTTTTTGCCAGGCAACGCGTGGGTCACGGGATGGCTGGGAGGGGGGGGGCACAACAGCAGCCTTGAGGGACCACGATCAGTCCCAAGCTTGCACTCTGCCAGACCCAGTCTAGCCTTACTCCTGGGTAGCCAGGAGATACACTGGGATTTATTGGTAAATCTCTGGGTGTGAGAACAGTTAAAAACAAACAGACACGCAGAAGGGAGTATGTGTGAGGTAACCTGTGTCTTTAGTTCCTTATACTACTCATAAATTCCTGCCCTGAGCATGTTTTCAGAGGGACACTGCTCCTTGATTCTTCACAAAATCACACACACACACCACAGTGGCTATTTTGCACTTGACTCCGGCTGATGGGTCTCAAGGTCCCAAGGTGGGGGGGGGGAACACTAATAACCCCCAGAATAGGCTTCACAACCCACCCCTCCCTTTTAGGACACCACTAGAAAACCCAGTTCTATTTACCGACATACTATGCTCCCTGACGTACCTCTCGGTATACTTGGCTGAGCAGAAGATGAGTCAGAAACAAATCAGAAGGAAATCAACCTCCTTGCCAGCCAATAGACCACATGGTTCCTTGCAGAGCCAGTTGTGCTCACCCACACCTTCGGTCTCCAGCTTCCTAAGCAGTGATGGCATAAAACCAATTTTGAGACACTTCGAAACTCTCAGCTCCACCCATAGTTTGGCCAGATTTCCCC